GGGGGGGGGGTGGAGGGGGGAGCAGGCTTGCAAGGGCCATGGGCATGACAGGCTCGAAGGGGGACCCAGCAGTGAGGAACCTTGGAAGTGGCAGAGGGACCTGGCCTTAGTGTTTCTTGCCCTCTCAAACCACCTTGGGTTCCTGCCCGTGGCCCAGGCATGTATCACAGCAGGGACATTGGATTTCTGTCCCTTGTGCCACAACTGTCTTGGGTCTGACCTGAGCTGGGTACCAGCTTCTCCATGACCTTTTCCATCCCATTGGCCAGGCCTGGTCTCAGCCCTGTCCCCTAAATGCCCCATGTAACTGTCATCTAGGAGCTCCCACTGTGTTCTAGGAGAGACTGGAAAACCCCCTCCTGCTGTGATTTTTATCATATATAACAAGATACCTTCCCTCCCCTGAACATGACCCCTGAGCATTTGGTCTTGTCCATGGTGACAGGGGTCCCAGTTGGGTGGCTGTAGTGCAATGGGAATAGGCCAATCAGGAGTCCAGAGATTCACCCTAAATTCCCACCAGGGCTGAGATCAAGGTTAAAGGGTGGGTATGTCTTTGGTTGCCCACCCTGTCCAGTGACCCTCTGACCCTTTTTTCCTTGCCAGGATAAAAGCCATCAGCTACCATTCTTAAGGTTGAGACCCTTTAGAAGATAAAGAAAAGGGGAGGTGACCAGAAAACTCCCCTGGTCCTTCCTAGGTCAGAACTAGGCTCCAACATGGACTTGACAAGGTAGACATCACTGCCTTGCACCCATAGCTGGAGCTGATGGCAAGGCCCAGAACTGATGACAGTCCCTTGGGTCATTGCCTGGGACCAAGACCCTTGGGTCCCTCTCCTCTCCCTCCCTTCCACCTCTTTCCCTGGCAGGAGTGGGGGGTCTTACCATTGACAGTCAGGGTCACCTCTCGTTCCCCGGCCCCCACCCGGGGCACCACCGCTCGGCACACATACTTCCCAGCATCCTCCTGGCGGACAGCCTTGAGGGTCAGAGTCTTTTCATTGCTCAAGACCTAGGAGAATTGGGGAGAACAGACACAAAGAGTGGGGGTGGGCTCTGTGTCTTTCAGAACCAGAGAGTCCGAGAGACAGGCCTGGTGGAAGGTCACGAGTCTCGAGCATCTCAGTAAGAACCGGGGCTGGGGTAGGAGACAGACATTCACTGCATAGCAGCTGCGTGTGGGAGAGCCCCCTGGAAGGCAGCCCCCCAGGCCCAGGGTCCCGCCACCCCTGGCAGAGGAACCTGGGGTCTGAGCTGTGGACTCACCACGCCGGAGCCCCGCTTCATCCAGACAATGGTCAGGGATGGGTTTCCGGTCCAGGAGCAGCTGAAGACGGCATCTGAGCCCAGGTCCACGAGCAGGGACTGGGGCTCTGTCGTCATCCGGGGCCCGACTATGATGGGTGGGAGGACGAGACCGGGCTCTGGTGGGCTGGGGAGCTCTGGGGACCCTCTTTGCTGCTGCGTGCCTTCCCCCACCCTGGTGCCTGTGCCACCTCAGCCCGCTCCAGCCCATTCCCTTACATTTCAGTCCTCTGCCCCCTGGGCCTAAGGTCAGGAAGTCAGGGAAAGACCCCTCTCCTCCTGAGCCCAGCCTCCCTCGGGCTCACGGCCCTAGGAAACAGGCTCTCGGGCCCTGTTTGTGCCTGGATATGCCCTCAGGGCTCTCCCATCCCTTTCCCTCTGTCCTGGTCCCAGGAGGTCCCCCACCCCAGGGTGTGGGCAGAGGGGCCTTCCTCCCTGGGCTCAGGGATCTTCATGTGTCTGCCTTCAAAGTCCACTGGCCACTCGCTGAGCCTCGCAGGCCCCTCTTAGTGGCTCTGAGATTCCGAAAGGAGTGGCCAGGTGGCTCCCTGGTGTCCCCTCCTGTGCCCTCAGGTTATCCTCTGTCCCAGCCCCTTCCAGACTCTTGTTCAACCCCATCTATTGCCCACACCCCTGCTGAGTGGTGAGGTTAATGAAGGCTCCTCTCTGCCTCCTACCCCCAACCCCTGCCCCCAGAGCTTCCTGCAGACCAAGCCTGGTCCCCAGGCTGCACTTTTAAGCACCATGGTGGAGGGTGCAGAGAGCTGCTTTCAGGGAGCGAAGGGTGAAATCTGGGGTTGGGAGCTTGGCTTAGGCCCTTGGTGTAGAAAGTAATCTCAGTTGAGGCTGTCGGGGGAGAGGAAAGGGTCAGCCGGAAAAGTCGGTGAAAGTGCGTTAAAACTAAAGGGCTGTAGAGGAGCTAATGCTTATGGCTGTGAGTTCGTTCAGCTGGCCCTCAGCTGGGAGGTCTCTGCAGGGCCACCAGGCAGGAGGGGGACATCCGGGAGCCCTGAATGGGAGGGGCAGGCTGGGTGGGCAGGCAGTGGATTTGCTCTGAGCTTGGTCTCAGTCCTCATTCTGCCACCTCCACTCTGTGTGACCTCAGGCCTCTGTCCCCGCATCTGGGCAATGGGTACAATCACTGCCTCCCTGTGTTGTTATGAGGGTCACCGCACAGGGAGGCCCTGTGCACAGGACACAGCTCCATGATCTAGCGAGGCGTTGTACATTGTGTGCAGTGAGTCCAGACCAGTTTCCCTGGCCCTGAGCAGAGACACCCCAGGGCCCATGCCAGCAGGGAAGCCCCAGACAGTGGCACTCACAGTAGACATCGACCGTGCGGCTGATGTTGGTGCTGCCCAAGGCATTGGTCACCTCACAGGAGACTGGTTCTGAGAAGTACGTGTAGTCCACGGTGGTCCGATACACTTCCCCTGATGCTTCCTTGATGATCTGGCCCCTCTTGGCCCACCTGCAACACAGGCCCCGAGGGCTGGGGTGACCTCTGATGGCAAGTGCGTCCCTCCCGCCCGGGGAGCAGCTGTGCTCTGGGAGTTGGACGCATCCAGACCACAGAGAAAGGAGGCTGGGCCTGGGACAGCGGGTGCAGGCCCCTCAGGGGTCCCTCAGGGGAACTCTCCATACAGGAGCTACTTCCAGGGCTGGGAGCAGTTGGTGCTGCAGGTGGCAGGCTTTGGTCTGAGGATCACCAGGTGATCAGTGGCACCAGACAAGTCGGTTATTCCGGAGGGAGGTGTTTTGACCATTCAGGTGGTCAGCCCGTCTGACTGGCTAGGCAATGGATAATGCACAGCCCCCAGACAGCTTGGCCACCCTCCTCTGAGCCTATCAGGGCCCCTGTTCTGGTCATGTTGGAAAGGAGGAAGCTAAGTCTGTGACCTCAGAGGCCAGGGTCTCATGGCATGTGCCCACCCCTGCATGCATGCCCCCCATCCCCACCCACACAGAAATGAGGCTCAGGAAGCTCGAGTTCCAGGCCTGGTGAGCAGCTGATGGAGTGGGGTTAGCTGGGGTCCCCACTGCCCCTCCCACTTGGCCAGTTCTCTCAGCCTTCCTGTCCTGACTCCTGTCCCCAGAGTAGGTCCCCCCGGAGATGGCACTTGCTCTTTTCTCTGTGCAGTTTCCACCCTCCAACCCTGGCTTCACTCCGCAGAGGCCTCGGCTCTGTCTGCCCTGGCGTGTCGGAGAGGCAAGAAGAAGGCTGTGCTGACTTCTTTCATTAGCCAATCCACCCGACTAGTCAGTGGCTGCAAAGATGAGACCGAAGAGCCTCAGGCCTGTCTGGGTCCTGGCCCTGGGACATAGAACACTGCACGGACCAGTGACCCGCAGCCCACTGCCTGTGGCCAGTACTGGCAGTCCCCAGGGTGTGGGTGTGCATGTGTCACGGGCGCTCTCCTTACAGGTCTCCAAGGAGAGAGCTCATAGCTTCCCCCTGCTTTAACTCACTGTGGACAACACTCACTTTAAAATGACAAAACCTCCAGCTCGGCTCCCCCTGCAGTTCAAGCCCATTTCAGGGTGTATGTCTTCAGCAGGGCTGGACAGGCTCTTTGGCCCCCACAGTTGTCACCCTGTGACCCTGGATCCCTGTAACCACAGCTTCCCTGCCTACCTTGCCTTCACCCCCACTTTCTCTCATTCCCACCCGTCTCTGCCCTTCTCTCCATCTGTCTCCTGCCCGGCCCATCCCTCCAGCCTAGGAGACGGCCATCTCTCAGCACCCGGAGCTCCCAGGCTGGCACCATGTGGTTATTATTGTGAATTAATATTGGGTAATTATTAAGAACACGATTAATAAATAACAATTATAGTTTAACAACAGAGCAAACCATGCTCCCTGAGAGCTTAAGGAGCTTCCCAACAAACCATTATGAGTTATTCATGAATCACTTCAATTTCTAACTTTAATTTAATGACCAGACTTAATTGGCATGGCCCCTGCCTGAGGCGGATGAATTCGGTCCCAGACACATGGTTGGGGATCCGTGTCCAACCCTATTCCTTCCATCCTGCTGAGGGGAGGGGGCCAGGGGTAGGACCCAGGCCTCTGGCTGGGCTGGGAGGAGGGCAGGGCTTTCTCCCCACTGTCCCGGGTCCCTCCCACTGTAAGTCGTGGAGGGGGGAAGCTGTAGCCGCTTGGCTCTAAGGAGTTCGGGAGAACTGTGGGGGCTCCCACAGGCCCGGGACCCAGCGGGACAGCTGGGACTAAGCTTTCTTGACCCCAGCAGAGCTGTGCTGCCTGAGCCGCTCATCTGTGCAGCTGCTGCCCTTAGGTCCCAGGCCTGTCCCCACCTGAGAGGCAGAGGGGGGCAAGCAGCATTCCCCCAGGGGCATGGCAGGCGCTGGCTGTGGGTGCTGAGCCTTTCGGGGGCACCAGAGTCTCCCACTCGCATCTCACCCAGCCAGTCTTCCTCACCTTTCTTCCCACCCACCCCCACATCAGAAACCCCCTGTGGGGAACCCTTTCAGAACCTGAAATCGCTCATTCTCGAAGCTGGCCACAGGGCCTAGGGTTAGCCAGAGGGCAAGGCCCCCCAGCCCCCAGCTCTTCTCTCCCCCTCTTGGTTCTTTGGCTTCTCTTCTCTGGTCCCCTCGCCCTCCCACTGCCCACCCACTCGCAGCTTCTCCAGCCCCTCGGGACAGGAGTCGGGTTAATAAGCCTTCCAACCGAGGGGACCTGAGCAAATGTAAGAGGATGAATTATTTATGTCACAGGATCAGGGGCCTGGTGTGTCACAACCCCACCGGCTGTCCGAAAGCAGCCCCGAGTTTCATATTGGGCGGCGGTCCTCTCCCTGTACCTGCGGGGCCCCCTGCGCCGGGGCCTGTTCTCGCCCAGGTTCTGGTCCCGAGGGGCAGCCAAAGGGACCCCCGAGCCTGCTGGATGTCTCCTGTGCCCACCCATGCCCCCTCTCTGGGCACTGGGGCAGAGGAGGGCATCTCTCTAATTTCTGAGATCACAGTCTTTTATGTAAAACAGGGAGGAAAGATCCTTGTAATCTTGTCAAAGTCATTTGGGGAAAATCGAGGTGCTTATGTGATACGATCTGCTTAAAGCTTTCTTCTTGGATCCCAACAAGGCACAGGCTGGGTGAGACCTACTGATGCCAAGGGGCTGAGAGGCTGTGGGTGGGCGAAGGTTCCCCCCTCCTCTCTCCACAGCCCTCCACCCCCTTCCTTCCCAAGCCACCTGGCTCTCAGGAGGCCAGGAGGGACCCTGGTCCACTCTAAAGCATTCTCAGGACCTTTGGCTAATCCGGAGTTCACGGGGAAGGTGACAAGTAAGGACAAGTGCCCACCTCCAGGAGGGAGCCCACCGACTGGCCCACCTGACAGCTCCCCCTGACTGTGGCCTGCAGGGATGGATGGAGATGGGGCGGGACCCACAGGGACCAGAGCCCAGGGAAACCTGCACAGTCTCTGCGTGCTTGCCCACTAGTTCATTTGTTAACTTTTTAAAGAAAACTTTGAAATGAAGGAAAAGTTGAAAGAATAGTGCAATTAACCCCTTTTCCCTTCACTAAACTCGCCAGCTGTTATCCTTCTGCCACATCTGTGTTGTTACTCTTCTGCCACATCTGCTTTGTGGCCCTGTCTCGTGCGTACACTCACACCTTGTCACCATCACCATCCCTGGGGTTCTGCTCTTTTGAGAGGGGTGACTGGGACGCGGGCCCAGAGCCTGCTTTCTCGGGTGTTTGCTTGCCCTGTGCTCGGTGGAGGGCAGGTGCGGAGTGGGTGGGGAGTGAAGCTGGGTCCTGGAGCAGAGCCCTGCTGCTGACGAACCTCCACAGCTAGGTCCTCGGATGACCCAGAGCCCGACAGTGCAGAGAAATGGAAGTTGGAAGTTGTCTGCTCTGATCTCTGGGGTCCAAGGCATTCCTGGGACACTGTGAAGGTCACTGTGGGCTATGGGCATGAAGGGCTTGCCAGGGAAACTGGCATCAGGGGTAACTTCTGGGCACATGGTGCCTGGTGTTTAGGGATCGTGAGCAGAGAGCAGAGAGCAGAAAGAAGCCAGCCTTGTTGAGAGGAGCTGGGCCTGGCAGGTGCAGAGGCGGAGCCCAGAGAATCAGTCTCTCTGGGTGCTTCCCTCTGCATCTTTAGTCCCTTCCAGGCAGATGCTGGGTCCCAGCTGAACCAGGCCTGACCCTGGACCTCCTGGGCTGCATGCCTCCAGGGATCCCCTAGTTAGTGAACAGCTAGACTGGACCGGACAGGTAGATTTTCATCCTATTTAAAAATATCCTCAAACGTAAAGACCCTTGTCTCTCCTGGTTTCGGTCCCCATGTTGTTTCACTATCTGCCCTGCAGGGGGCGCTGCCTCATGTCCAGCTGAACCTCTGGCTGCCTCTCCGGCCCATTACCTCTGACTCTGCCTCTGGGGCTGCACTGCCTCTGTTGTCCCTGTTCTCCACCCACTCTGGGCAGCATCTTTCTTACTCTGAGCCCATTAGCATCTCTGGTACTGGCTGACGCTGCGGCTTAATAATCCATTTCCATGGCAGAGGCAGCGCTCTGGGCGCCTCCATCAGGTCTGGGCTGGCGGGAAGGGGTGGGGTGGAGCCAGGGCCATGGTGAGATCCACCAGCAAGTGAGGCTGAGCCTGCCCTTGAGCACTTCTGAGGCCACTGTCTCTGGCTGCCTTGTGCTGTGACAGTGCACAGGGAGGAGGTGCCCAGAGGAGCAGCTCTGAGCATTTAGCCCGTCAGTCAGCCTGCATTCCGAGAGCCGGTACACACCTCACACTGTGCTCCGTGCTGAGAGCCATATGCGACTCAAATTGCAGTTTGTGCCTCCAAGAAGCTCAGTCAACAGGCAAAGACAAGCATGCAAGAGATAGTGATGCTTTACCAGTGCTGTGGGCAAGGGGTGCACAGGGCCATGAGCGTGAATGGTCCCAGGTGCCCACTGGACAGGGCCAGCTGTCCCAGAAACTGCACCCTACCCAGGTGAGCAGTTTGGTGACACAAGACTAGAATACAGATGCTGATCTTACTCGTTCCCCTGATTGTTTTAACTCTTTTCCTGAGCCTCTCTCCCTCATTTCAGAGATAAGGGATCAACAAGCTATTCAAACAGAAGGGGTGACACCTACCGTCTCCAGCGGAATGGGATCACATATGTGCACGAGGAGAGAGCCCCCAGCTGGCCAGGGTGGAGGGGAGAGGCAGGAGGAGGGGAGTTCTCACCTAGCCAGGGGTG